GTGGATTAGGTGTCAAGTGTCATATTTAAGGTAGATCAGGTGTCAAGTGTCGCATTTGAGGTAGATCAGGTTGTCAAGTGTCACATTTAAGGTAGATAAGGAGTCAAGTGTCAGGTTTAAGTCAGGTCAAGTGCCAGGTTTAAGTCAGGTCAAGTGTCAGGTTTAAGTCTCGTCAAGTGTCAGGTTTAAGTCTGGTCAAGTGTCAGGTTTAAGTAAAATCAAGTGTCAGGTTTAAGTCAGGTCAAGTGTCAGGTTTAAGTCAGGTCAAGTGTCAGGTTTAAGGCAGGTCAAGTGTCAGGTTTAAGTCAGGTCAAGTGTCAGGTTTAAGTCAGGTCAAGTGTCAGGTTTAAGCAGGTCAAGTGTCAGGTTTAAGTCAGGTCAAGTGTCACGTTTAAGTCAGGTCAAGTGTCAGGTTTAAGTCAGGTCAAGTGTCAGGTTTAAGGCAGGTCAAGTGTCAGGTTTAAGTCAGGTTAAGTGTCAGGTTTAAGTCAGGTCAAGTGTCACGTTTAAGTCAGGTCAAGTGTCACGTTTAAGTCAGGTCAAGTGTCACGTTTAAGGCAGGTCAAGTGTCACGTTTAAGTCAGGTGAAGTGTCACGTTTAAGTCAGGTCAAGTGTCACGTTTAAGTCAGGTCAAGTGTCACGTTTAAGTCAGGTCAAGTGTCACGTTTAAGTCAGGTCAAGTGTCACGTTTAAGTCAGGTCAAGTGTCACGTTTAAGTCAGGTCAAGTGTCACGTTTAAGTCAGGTCAAGTGTCACGTTTAAGGCAGGTCAAGTGTCACGTTTTAAGGCAGGTCAAGTGTCACGTTTAAGTCAGGTCAAGTGTCACGTTTAAGTCAGGTCAAGTGTCACGTTTAAGGCAGGTCAAGTGTCACGTTTAAGTCAGGTCAAGTGTCACGTTTAAGGCAGGTCAAGTGTCACGTTTAAGTCAGGTCAAGTGTCACGTTTAAGTCAGGTCAAGTGTCACGTTTAAGTCAGGTCAAGTGTCACGTTTAAGTCAGGTCAAGTGTCACGTTTAAGTCAGGTCAAGTGTCACGTTTAAGTCAGGTCAAGTGCCGTTTAAGGCAGGTCAAGTGTCACGTTTAAGTCAGGTCAAGTGTCACGTTTAAGTCAGGTCAAGTGTCACGTTTAAGTCAGGTCAAGTGTCACGTTTAAGTCAGGTCAAGTGTCACGTTTAAGGCAGGTCAAGTGTCAGGTTTAAGTCAGGTCAAGTGTCACGTTTAAGTCAGGTCAAGTGTCACGTTTAAGTCAGGTCAAGTGTCAGGTTTAAGGCAGGTCAAGTGTCAGGTTTAAGGCAGGTCAAGTGTCAGGTTTAAGTCAGGTCAAGTGTCACGTTTAAGTCAGGTCAAGTGTCACGTTTAAGTCAGGTCAAGTGTCACGTTTAAGTCAGGTCAAGTGTCAGGTTTAAGGCAGGTCAAGTGTCAGGTTTAAGTCAGGTCAAGTGTCAGGTTTAAGTCAGGTCAAGTGTCACGTTTAAGTCAGGTCAAGTGTCAGGTTTAAGGCAGGTCAAGTGTCAGGTTTAAGTCAGGTCAAGTGTCACGTTTAAGTCAGGTCAAGTGTCACGTTTAAGTCAGGTCAAGTGTCAGGTTTAAGGCAGGTCAAGTGTCAGGTTTAAGGCAGGTCAAGTGTCAGGTTTAAGTCAGGTCAAGTGTCAGGTTTAAGTCAGGTCAAGTGTCAGGTTTAAGTCAGGTCAAGTGTCACGTTTAAGTCAGGTCAAGTGTCAGGTTTAAGGCTGGTCAAGTGTCAGGTTTAAGTCAGGTCAAGTGTCAGGTTTAAAGGTCAGGTCAAGTGTCACGTTTATAGTTCATGGTCAGGTTGTCAGGTTTAAGGCAGGTCAAGTGTCAGGTTTAAGGCAGGTCAAGTGTCACGTAAGGCAGGTTAAGTGTTAAAGTTTACGTAATTAAGATTTTTTTTTATATTTTATTTAAAACCAATACAGTTTAACATAAAAATAAAGAAACAGTATGGATCTCAATCAAAGTAACTGACACACGGATTGCACCTACTTGCTCTCAAGATATTGCTGCAAAAACATACAATAATAACTTACGACAAGAACAGCTAAACTTACGGTAAGAACATAGCTAAACTTACGGTAAGAACATAGCTAAACTTACGGCAAGAACATAGCTAAACTTACGGCAAGAACATAGCTAAACTTACGGCAAGAACATAGCTAAACTTACGGCAAGAACATAGCTAAACTTACGACAAGAACATAGCTAAACTTACGACAAGAACATAGCTAAACTTACGACAAGAACATAGCTAAACTTACGACAAGAACATAGCTAAACTTACGACAAGAACATAGCTAAACTTACGACAAGAACATAGCTAAACTTACGACAAGAACATAGCTAAACTTACGACAAGAACATAGCTAAACTTACGACAAGAACATAGCTAAACTTACGACAAGAACATAGCTAAAAAAAAAATACTGTCACTGATTAGGTGTTTAGGCTAATTAATATAAAGTATTAAAGTTTCATTTGATAAGTTATTTTGGTGAAGATAAGGTAATTAGGTTAATTAAGGCCAAGTACTTAGGTTAATTAAGGTCATGTATTTAGGTTAAGTCCATGTATTTAGGTTAATTAAGGGCAGGTCTTTTAGTTAATTAGGACCAGGTATTTAGACTAATTAAGGCCAGGTATTTAGGTTAAATAATACGAGGTATCGAGGTTAATTAAGGCCATTTATTTAGGTTAAGTAAGGCCTTTTATTTAGGTTAATTAAGACCAGGTATTTAGGTTATTTAAGCCATGTATTTAGGTTAAGTCCATGTATTTAAATTAATGAAGGCCAGGCCTTTAGGTTTAATAAGGCCATGTATTTAGGTTAATTAAGTCCATGTATTTAGGTTAATTAAGGGCAACCCTTTTGGTTAATTAGGACCAGGTATTTAGACTAATTAAGATCAGGTACTTAGGTTAATTAATACGAATTATCTAGATTAATTAAGGCCAGGCATTTTGGTTAATTAAGGCCATTTATTTAGGTTAATTAAGACCAGATATTTAGGTTAATTAAGGCCCGATGTTTAGGTAAATTAAGGTCATTTATTTAAGTTAATTAGGGCCATTTATTTAGGTTAATTAAGGCCATTTATTTAGGTTAATTAAGGCCAGATATTTAGGTTAATTAAGATCCGGTATTTAGGTTAAGGCCAGGCATTTAGGTTAATTTAGGTAAGGTATTTAGGCTTGTAGATGAATGGTTCACAGAACCGACATGTTGATAAATTAGACACATGTGCAACTCTTGGGTATCTTTATTGAGGAAACGTTTCGCCACACAGTGGCTTCATCAGTCCATACAAAGGAGAATCTTGAAGAACAGGAGGAGAATGAGGTAATCAGTCCCTCAACCTTGAGTCGATGTGGTCAGTCCATCAAGATTGAATAGAATACGGCATAGTTCGTTACTTTGTTATATTGTTACTGCCATTATTGCTGCTATTATTATTGTTATTATTATTATTATTATTATTATTATTATTATTATTATTATTATTATTATTATTATTATTATTATTATTATTATTATTATTATTATTATTATTAGCAGTAGTAGTAAACTCCTTAATGCAACCAAGGAACTGATCCCTAATTTGTCGAAAAGTATATGGAACCCGTTTGTAAGAGATTTAATCCTAAGTCGCGGAACGAAGGGTAGGGAATCCCCTCCCTCACTCAAGAAATCGGAGGGGATCTTAACATTAATCCCCCACAAGAGCAGTGATTGCTGGGGATTTTCCTAATTTCCTGAATGATGGCGTTAACTCAGTGACGGATTTGTCTGACTTGTGGAGGGATTTGTGTGTGTGTGTGTGTGTGTGTGTGTGTGTGTGTGTGTGTGTGTGTGTGTGTGTGTGTGTGTGTGTGTGTGTGTGTGTGTGTGTGTGTGTGTGTGTGTAGTCTCCTAGCTGTGGTTCCAGGGGTCGATTCACAGCTCTGGCCTCACCTCTTCAATGGTCGCTACTAGGTCACTCTTCCTGCTGCATGAGCTTTATCATACCTCTTCCTCATGCTGTGTATGGATCCTGCCTCCACTACATCACTTCCCAAACTCTTCTACTTCCTGACAACTCTGTGACTGAAGAAATACTTCCTAACATCCCTGTGATTCTTCAACTTCCAACTGTACTGCGTGTGTGTGTTTTACTGAGAGAGAGAGTGAGAGGGAGAGAGAGAGAGAGAGAGAAGAGAGAGAGAGAGAGAGAGAGAGAGAGAGAGAGAGAGAGAGAGAGAGAAGAGAGAGAGAGAGAGAGAGAGAGAGAGAGAGAGAGAGAGAGAGAGAGAGAGAGAGAGAGAGGCAGAGAATGAGAGAGAGAGAGAGAGAGAGAAATGAGGCAGAGAAAATGAGAGAAGGGAAATTATAGAGAGAGAGAAAGAGAGCGAGAGTGAGATAACTTCGTAAAGGTTTGACCTAATTAAGTGAGAAATGTTGCTAACTTCTGGAGCGTCCCGTCATGCACGGAGTGAGACACACTCAAACCCCATTATCATCCTCATCACCGTAATTATCATTATGCTCATTCTCATGAACGTCATTATACTCAGTATCATCCTCATCAACAGTATCATCCTCATCAACAGTATCATCCTCATCAACAGTATCATCCTCATCAACAGTATCATCCTCATCAACAGTATCATCCTCATCAACAGTATCATCCTCATCAACAGTATCATCCTCATCAACAGTATCATCCTCATCAACAGTATCATCCTCATCAACAGTATCATCCTCATCTTTATCCCTGTCATTATATAAATCCTTTACAGTGCTGATAAAGAAATTGTTTAAATATAAATTAATATAAATTAATGATAATAATAATAATAATAATAATTATTATTATTATTATTATTATTATTAACCCTTTAGATGAGCCATCACTAATAATTAACTTTAAACAAAGTTCATTGTTAGATTTAACAATTATAATCTACTTAGGGTTACTTTTAAGACTTTCGTACAATCTATATTTTAACATCGAACTGAATGCCCTTGCCAGAGTGTGTGTGGTTCTGCATTTATCTTCTTTATTTTGTAAGGACATTTTAGTTTGTGCGTAATGGAATCTGATGGTAATTATAGTTGCCCCAGGTTGGTCACTAGCAGCAGCGCCGGTACCAGTGAGGTCCCCCTGCCGGTGGACGCTAGCACCAGCAGGAAGGTCGTCCTCAGCAGCAGCGCCGGTACCAGTGAGGTCCCCCTGCCGGTGGACGCTAGCACCAGCAGGAAGGTCGTCCTCAGCAGATGCGGCGGTACCGACCCTACCACTACCACCAACAGCACCAGCAGGAAGGTCGTCCTCAGAAGCAGCGACGGTACCAGTGAGGTCCCCCTGCCGGTGGGCGCTAGCAGCACCAGCAGGAAGGTCGTCCTCAGCAGCAGCGCCGGTGCCAGTGAGGTCCCCCTGCCGGTGGACGCTAGCACCAGCAGGAAGGTCGTCCTCAGAAGCAGCGCCGGTACCAGTGAGGTCCCCCTGCCGGTGGACGCTAGCAGCACCAGCAGGAAGGTCGTCCTCAGCAGATGCGGCGGTACCGACCCTACCACTACCACCAGCAGCACCAGCAGGAAGGTCGTCCTCAGAAGCAGCGCCGGTACCAGTGAGGTCCCCCTGCCGGTGGACGCTAGCAGCACCAGCAGCAAGGTCGTCCTCAGCAGCAGCGCCGGTACCAGTGAGGTCCCCCTGCCGGTGGACGCTAGCACCAGCAGGAAGGTCGTCCTCAGCAGCAGCGCCGGTACCAGTGAGGTCCCCTGCCGGTGGACGCTAGCACCAGCAGGAAGGTCGTCCTCAGCAGCAGCGCCGGTACCAGTGAGGTCCCCCTGCCGGTGGACGCTAGCACCAGCAGGAAGGTCGTCCTCAGCAGCAGCGCCGGTACCAGTGAGGTCCCCCTGCCGGTGGACGCTAGCACCAGCAGGAAGGTCGTCCTCAGCAGCAGCGCCGGTACCAGTGAGGTCCCCCTGCCGGTGGACGCTAGCACCAGCAGGAAGATCGTCCTCAGCAGATGCGGCGGTACCGACCCTACCACTACCACCAGCATCAGCGGTACCGACCCTACCACTACCACCAGCATCAGCGGTACCGACCCTACCACTACCACCAGCATAAGCGGTACCGACCCTACCACTACCACCAGCATAAGCGGTACCGACCCTACCACTACCACCAGCATAAGCGGTACCGACCCCAGCACCACCATCCACACCGGTACCAGACTCACAGCTCCCGGACACAGAAGGATGATGCTGGGACTTCGGGCAAATGATGACACAACTAAGAGAGAGTCGTCGGAAGACATCGTGGTGACCACCGGCAGGACAACTAAGTCCTCATGGATACAGAATTTCTTCCTGTGTCTGGGAGCTTGGGCCTGCCTGGTAACTACCTTGGCTCTCTGCTACATCGTAGTTAATAGAAACATTTGAATCTGTTACTTCAGGTATATCTATTTTATTTTTCACACATCTCTGTTGTTACCCTCAGGACGTGTTTCCGTTATTGGGCGATCAGAGAAAGGTGTGTCCCCGTGTTCGATAAACTCAGCCGCCTCTACCTGCATGTATGTGTATATTTGTGTGTATGAATTTCTATACATATATGCACTTTCATATGTATACAGTATAAGCGTTTATGTACGTATGTATTTGTGCAGTTACATATGATTTTTTACATATATACTTATGTATGTGTGTATATGTATGTTTGTTTGAGTACATATGCATATACTGTATATCCTTGTGCATGTATATGCATGTGCAGATACAGTAATATGCATGTTTACGCATACTGTACTTTTCTGCAGGTGTGTATGTATGTGTCAGAACGTATGCAAGTATATTTTTTTGTCTGTTACATATTCATATATATATATATATATATATATTATATATATATATATATATATATATATATATATATATATATATTATATATATATATATATATATATATATATATACATATATATAAACCTGAGGATTCCGGAAGCCTTGCCAGTCATTCCAGGATGCTGGAATTGGCTTCAACATCTCACGTCACAGGACACACGAACATGCCAACTGTTTCAAGAATTTGAGGAATTTGAAAATTTTTAGAAATGAATAATAATAATAATAATAATAATAATAATAATTATTATAACGATAATAATAACAATAATAATACAATAATAATAACAACAACAACAACAACAGCAATATTAATAATAATAATAATAATTAAATAATAATAATAATATTAACAACAACAATAACAATAATAGTGATAATAATTATAACAATTATCCATGCAAAACGGGCATCGACTCGTAATCTCAGTTCTCTTATTACAGAAAATAATTAATTTGTTATGCATGAATTATCACAGGAAATCTTCAGGTAACCAGCGCTGCCTCGTGGGAGTCTCAGAGAAATAATCATCTCTGGGATAATTAACCCAGAAATCCATAAGATTTCTCGAGAGGCCGCGGGCAGGGATAGAAAAGGGTATATGCCGTGCAATAAGGATAGCTGACTGGTGGATAGGGATAACAGAACGTCTGGTGAAAGTAATTTTGTGCGTTTTTAGCACCCGAAAATTTATACCCATGAGTAGTGGTCCCACGGGAAACACAGTTGGCAGCATTCTGGAATGAGGCTGCTACTAGGCGTTAACCAGCACCTAGTAGCAGCCTCAGGAAACACTTTTCCTGTTTCCTGACGAATCTTACCTAACCTATAGCAAAGTCATCAACATAAAGCGATGACCGAATACTGGTAACGTCAGTAGCTGTTCTTCTGGTAGTGAAATACTGATCGGACATAGAATTGTGTTTTTCTTCTTAGAGACCTGGAAGATACTCGAGGGCCAGGTTCCAAAATATACATACCACCATAACGAAATAATGGAATGAGAGATATAACAACATACTGAAATGAGAGATATAACAGCCTGCTGGAATGAGAGATATAACAACATACTGGAGTGAGTGATTTAACATACTGGAGTAAGAGATATAACAACATACTGGAGTGAGAGATATAACAACATACTGGAGTGAGAGATATAACAACATACTGGAGTGAGTGATATAACAACATACTGGAGTGAGAGATATAACAGCCTGCTGGAATGAGAGATATAACAACATACTGGAGTGAGTGATATAACAACATACTGGAGTGAGAGATATAACAGCCTGCTGGAATGAGAGATATAACATACTGGAGTGAGTGATATAACATACTGGAGTGAGAGATATAACAGCATACTGGAGTGAGAGATATAACAACATACTGGAGTGAGAGATATAACAACATACTGGAGTGAGAGATATAACAACATAATGGAGTGAGAGATATAACAACATGCTGGAGTGAGAGATATAACATACTGGAGTGAGAGATATAACAACATACTAGAGTGAGAGATATAACAACATACTAGAGTGAGAGATATAACAACATGTTGGAATGAGAGATATAACATACTGGAGTGAGAGATATAACAACAAAGTAGAGTGAGAGATATAGCAACATGCTGGAGTGAGTGATATAACATACTGGAGTGAGAGATATAACAACATACTGGAGTGAGAGATATAACAACATAATGGAGTGAGAGATATAACAACATACTAGAGTGAGAGATATAACAACATACTAGAGTGAGAGATATAGCAACATACTGGAGTGAGAGATATAACAACATACTGGAGTGAGAGATATAACAACAAAGTAGAGTGAGAGATATAGCAACATGCTGGAGTGAGAGATATAACAACATACTAGAGTGAGAGATATAACAATATGTTAGAGTGAGAGATATAACAACATACTAGAGTGAGAGATATAACAACATGCTGGAGTGAGAGATATAACAACATACTAGAGTGAGAGATATAACAACATAATGTAGTGAGAGATATAACAACATACTGAAGTGAGAGATATAACAACATACTAGAGTGAGAGATATAACAACATGCTAGAGTGAGAGATATAACATACTGGAGTGAGAGATATAACAACTTACTGGAGTGAGAGATATAACAACAAAGTAGAGTGAGAGATATAACAACATATTGAAGTGAGAGATATAACAACATGCTAGAGTGAGAGATATAACAACATAATGTAATGAGAGATATAACAACATACTGAAGTGAGAGATATAACAACATACTAGAGTGAGAGATATAACAACATGCTAGAGTGAGAGATATAACAACATAATGTAATGAGAGATATAACAACATACTGAAGTGAGAGATATAACAACATACTGGAGTGAGAGATATAACAACATACTAGAGTGAGAGATATAACAACATACTAGAGTGAGAGATATAACAACATACTAGAGTGAGAGATATAACAACATACTAGAGTGAGAGATATAACAACATACTAGAGTGAGAGATATAACAACATACTAGAGTGAGAGATATAACAACATACTAGAGTGAGAGATATAACAACATACTAGAGTGAGAGATATAACAACATACTAGAGTGAGAGATATAACAACATACTAGAGTGAGAGATATAACATGTTGGAATGAGAGATATAACAACATACTGGAGTGAGTGATATAACATACTGGAGTGAGAGATATAACAACATAATGGAGTGAGAGATATAACAACATACTAGAGTGAGAGATATAACAACATACTGGAGTGAGAGATATAGCAACACCATGGAGTGAGAGATATAACAACATAATGGAGTGAGAGATATAACAACATACTGGAGTGAGAGATATAACAACAAAGTAGAGTGAGAGATATAGCAACATGCTGGAGTGAGAGATATAACAACATACTAGAGTAAGAGATATAACAATATGCTAGAGTGAGAGATATAACAACATACTAGAGTAAGAGATATAACAATATGCTAGAGTGAGAGATATAACAACATACTAGAGTGAGAGATATAACAACATAATGTAGTGAGAGATATAACAGCATACTGAAGTGAGAGATATAACAACATACTAGAGTGAGAGATATAACAACAAAGTAGAGTGAGAGATATAGCAACATGCTGGAGTGAGAGATATAACAATATGCTAGAGTAAGAGATATAACAATATGCTAGAGTGAGAGATATAACAACATAATGTAGTGAGAGATATAACAACATACTGGAGTGAGAGATATAACATGCTAGAGTGAGAGATATAACATGCTAGAGTGAGAGATATAACAACATACTAGAGTGAGAGATATAACAACATACTAGAGTGAGAGATATAACAACATACTAGAGTGAGAGATATAACATGCTAGAGTGAGAGATATAACATGCTAGAGTGAGAGATATAACATGCTAGAGTGAGAGATATAACATGCTAGAGTGAGAGATATAACAACATACTAGAGTGAGAGATATAACATGCTAGAGTGAGAGATATAACATGCTAGAGTGAGAGATATAACAACATACTAGAGTGAGAGATATAACAACATACTAGAGTGAGAGATATAACAACATAATGGAGTGAGAGATATAACAACATACTAGAGTGAGAGATATAACAACATAATGGAGTGAGAGATATAACAACATGTTTGACTGAGAGATATAACATACTAGAGTGAGAGATATAACAACATACTGGGGTAAGAGATATAGGAGGAAGTGTTAAACAGACCCAGTGAAAAACAGGGGCGCCTTGGGCAAAATAAGAGAGCACTGTGTCAGCGTCCGTGGTCCAAGACTCTTCAACCTGCTACCAGCAGATATCAGAAACACTGCCGGAACATTTGTAGCAAACAGTCTTCCAGACTAAACTGGATCACTACCTCCACCAAGTGCCGGATCAACCAGGCTGTGATGGATATGTAGGCCAACTGGCCGCCAACCGCCAAAAGCAACAGCCTGTTTGAAAAAGACAATGAACAGACAAGCCTGGGTCCAGGGTAGCTCAGAGGTACTTGCCTTCGGCTTACAATCAGCGGACCCGAGTTCAGTCACGGGGCGAGAGTACACACAGAAGGTCTCCTTGCACCTACTGTCTCTACACCCGTGTGTTAGTCCAAGGTTGTAATAATGTTGGAAGAATTACCGACAATATGTTACGTAAAAAGACACAAGTGCAACTAATGTGGCAATTTATTGTGGCAACGTTTCCCTCTCTATGAGCTTTGTCAAGCCGGAATCTTCAGGAAGGCTCAACGCAGCCTATCCAGTTTACTCTTGAAGAAGAGTCCAATGACAGGCTACCTGTTCTAGACGTCCTCATTTACATAGTAGATAACACTCTAAGGTTTCAAATTTACAGGAAACCTACAAACAAGAACGATCTCACACACTTCTATTCAGATTCAGGAAGGATATAGGAAAGTACTGGTTTGGTAATAGAGTTGTGGATGAGTGGAACAAACTCCCGAGTACAGTTACAGAGGCTAAAACGTTGTGTAGTTTTAAAAATAGGTTAGATAAATACATGAGTGGGTGTGGGTGGGTG